AAGGGCAGAGATGATAAGGCGTGTTCCTGCCGTCGGGGTGGGGGAAAGCCCTAGGAAAGAACCAGTTTTCGGAAATGCCCCTTACAATGTATGTTACAACATTTAGCAGTGCCACGCAGCTTAGCAAAGGAGTGTGTGATAGAGTCTAGTCCCAAATATTTTTAAGAAGTGTTATAAATTGTCCGAATCTCTTAAGATTACACAAAGGAGGCCTTGATGAAAATGGATTAATTATCGCAGCTAGCTGTTTGGCCTTTGTTATGAGTTCCATTTCAAATTACATCATTAATCATGTGCTGATGGGCAAGCAGGTGGTAGTTTGAGACAACAGGCGTGCCACTGTCATTCACAGTCTGTGCCGGCACTATCCCACCAAGGAGCCCCTATCCAAGCAGTGTAAGCTGCAGAGCAGGGGCCATGTACTGAGTTTTAATGTTGTTTAAATCTTCCGCACTTTGTCCCACCATTCACATGAAAGACAGCAGTCTTCCCCAGCATATGAGTGTTTTGTCCAGGTAACAGGTTACTTGCAGGCCATGGGTCAAGCCTGCCACGCTTTGTGTCCTGATCTTTGGTTCACGCTTGCGTGCGTGTTTGCGATCGCATTTTTGCTCATGCGAAACTGGCATCTGGCTGATCTGAGGGTTATGTGACTGTTTGTCTGTGAGGTAAGTAGCCGAGGGAGGGGAAGACAGAGGAATGGATGAAGAGAGGGGTTTGGAGGTTCTTGTGCTCCTAAAAAGTGTAGAATTGCAGTAAGAGGGTGACGGAGCAACCTGAAAAATCCCTGTGTTGTGAGAAAATGGACTAAACCTTCAACAGCTTTCTTCTTTTTCCTACTTGTAAAGAAAAAATGTTTTAGGCAAGAAGAAGTAAAAGACACATTTGGAAGCCGAAGGAAACTATTAAAGAGCAAAACCAGAAGCTAGTACACGTATTCACTAGAAAATAAGTAAAGGAGAGGCAACAGAAATGTAGTAAAAGCAGAGATACAACAGGAAGTGTGACTACCCTATGTGAAAATGATAAAAAATGATAAAAAGAAGATACTAATGAAAGGGAAACAATATAAACACAGTATTTTAAATATGTTACTGGTAATTGAATTTAAGTGAGCATAATGGTTATATACTCCTGTATATAATTTTGGACAGTCCTGCTTCTTGAGCTAGGTAGCGAGCTGATACAGACGTAGTTTTGTTTAGGATGCTAGAAGGGAGTAAGAGTGCCAGCCCTTGTAATTATGTTATGATAAATCCTCTGACAAGACTCTTACATCGACGAGTATGGTTGCAGATTTGCTGTGCACATAAAAAAAGGAGTAGACAAAACTGCTTAATATTTTCCTCTCAGCTTCAATGTGTTGAAGGGTTAATAGTGGTGGTTGTTAGGGATGTGACTCCAATTCTGTCCCCTTTCTGGTCTCAGAGTCCAGTCCTTGAGGTAAGTAGTATACTGCTCGTAGGTGTCTGGATGAAATATTGTTCTCCTATCCCTAGAGCATGGGCTCTGGCAGCAGGGTACTGTGCGTGCTAACAGGTCAGAGAACGTGGAAAGTGCTCTCCCCATGTCATTTAACACACTTCTTAGAAATCCAATACATAAATTACATAAGGGGATATGATCAATAATCCTTGCTGAATGGTGCACGTCCATCACCATTATAAAAGTGGGCAGACTAGCAGGGACGCTACAAATTTTGGAGGCCGTTTGTACTGTTCTTTACATATAACAAATGTACTGGGTTAGACAGAAGTCCAGACCACTCATCAAGTCTCTGAAAAGCCTGCTGCAGCTGATGTTTAGAAAGAGATTTTCCTCCTGCAGAATGTCCTCTGCAAGTTTGTGTCAGTCTGCTGCCTTGAAGACAGCTTTAAATTGTATTTGAATGTTGAATGGTTCCCACGGTTTTAGCGGAGCTATCCAAAAAGTAAAAATGTCGTTGCTATGTTTTGTATCCTGACTTCTATTTTGCATTTCTCCTCTTTGTGAGAGTTGGAAAATTTTCCAAATTATTGTGATGTCTGAAAGCAAAGGTCATAAATTTCAGTGCTCTAAATGGTAGATGGTAGATGTTGTGGCAGACTGAAAAATGAGGACCTTTGAGACCTGGTGGTTTTCAGCATGAATCTTAGGGCAAATTTTGTGCTAGTGCAGTGGTAGGATGAGGATAACTTTTGAACTACTTAGATGGAAAGAGGTCAGTGCTCTAGAATTGATGCTGTATTATTTGCCCTTCCTGGCCAACAGTTTTCGATATTGAAGAATAAGGTGTCTTGGACATTGCAGCAGAAAATGGGACATGACAAACATCATCTTCATGGAGGTCACAGCACCTGTAATATTGTCCGAAAGACAGATGATGCATCTTTTTACCTAAATGCAGCATTTTTAGAAATACTTAAAAATGAGATCATAAAAGAAAGAAAAAAAGGACCTCTCAGAAGCCAAACAGAAAAATACTGCACTGGGAGAATAAAAAAAGGCCTGAACACTGCCATCCTAGCTAAGAATTATGAATGCTGTTTTTTTAGTTGGAGATACTATGTTCTTTTCCTCCTCTCACCCATTTCACATACATCCGTAGGGTCCCAAATATGTCTTGAACTGCTTGTCTGCCTGCACAGGCTTTCAACATACCCTGAAGACGTTTCACTTCCATCAGCTACAGTGAGAACCCTTCCTGGAAACATTTGCACTGCTGGAAAGGCAAAAGCTAGTTGGAAAAGCCATCGGCACCTGTAGCAGTAGTACTGATGTCACAGGTGGACGTACTGAAACAACATCAAAACAGGCTCACTTCTGTTATTTAAGCTTTTGGGGAACGAAAAAGGTGGAATACTGGGACCGAAACAATTAATACAGAGTTTTCTTAGAAGTATTAACTAGCATGATTTTAAAATCTTAGCTGGGAATGAGCGCATTGCTTTTACTCCCTGGCAATTCACTCAAGTGGCTGTATAGAAAGCGTGATGACAAATGCAGGTGTGACTCTCATTGAAGTTGCATGTGGCTACTTTAGGACTGAGTTTGAGCTTATTGCTATTTACATTGGGTGATTTTGGTTTTTTGTTCTTCCCGAGGCTACAAGCACAAACTTGACAGGATTATTGAGAGGATCTCATTGTAAGACATTTTTGTGTTATATCCTACTTTGTTAAGTGTGCTGAAGTTGTGTTATATGTATCCTCAAAAGGAAGCATTTGTTTACATTTGAATTTTCTAGCACATGAGTTCAGGCCCTCAGGTGTCTTATCTCTCCAGCACTGAGACAATGGCGCTTTGTTTTTGCAAGCCTGAGGAGTCTCAGATTTTGGTAGGTCGGCAGTGATATTTACTGTTAGGTTTTTGTTGGTTTTTTTCTAGCATTATGGAAGTTTAAATTTTGCAGTGGTGCTTTCACAGATACTCGGTGTCAGCCCCAGTGCTTCCCTGGGTGCATTGCGCACAAGAAGTTGGAAATCCAGTGAAACATGTAGCTTAAAATTATACATTTACTCTTAATGGCTGGGGACCTAAATCTTTTTGTGATTGGTTTCCTTACATTGCATCTTAACTTCTAACCATAAAAAATAATTTATTAGGATTACAGTTTCTAAAATCGAGCTAAGAAGTGCTCAGAGCACTCCAGCAAAGTGCGAGGTAGAGCAGACACCACATGTTTGTAATACCATGTAGTATCTTCATCCTCATTCTGCTTGGATTCAGCCAGTACCTGTGGTTTCTTTGTGCATTGAATCTGTGGTCTTACTTGTTTGGGTAACCCTTCCTGCACCCCTGGGGAAGACCTGTTTTTAAGGCTTACCTGCAGGGATGCAGCTACAGGTAGTAGGCACTGCTGCAAGGAAACCCTTTTTACTATTTATGTGGATAGTGCTTAGCGTGATGGAAATAAAAAAAAAAAATCTTCCAGAACCTATGGTTGATACATTGCTGGCAATAAAAATAACAAGATTAAAAGAGACAGTAATATATTTAAATATTTTGTCAGGTTAAGCTTAGTGTTCTGGCTCGGTACCTTCCAGCCTGTAATTCGTGTAGTCTGGGCAGGGGAGGAGTCTGTGTTACATGTCATGAGCTGACTTGGGATAACTAAAAATACTGTTAATGTTACAGCTTGGTTGATTTCCAGACTAGCTACCACTGAGAGGGGAACTTCCTTCATTCTCCCTTTCCTACAATGAGCCTTCTCACAAAGTTAAATCGAAAAATAAGCCACACTTTAAAAAAATTGGGGGTTTTGGTGGTCTGTCTCCCTGGTCAGACAGACAGTGCTATTGCTAGCACAAGGAGGGGACTGGGAATGTGTACGTAGGGGTGAAGGAGGAGTGAAGCCTCCCTTTGATAGCAGCTGGTGCTTACATTGCCTCAGCCTTAATACTGGTTAAAAACCCAGCCAAAAGGACAAAAAGAAGTGAAATCTACTGCTGTGTTTTATGAACATACATACATATTAGAGTTTTGTCATTCTGGTTATGGAAAGTATTTTTCTAAACTGGAACAAAAATAATGGTGTCAATCTCCTCTTTCAAACAGGAAGCTACAACTTTAGATGGCTCATGTCTGACAACATGCACCACCAGTGGCTGCTGCTAGCTGCATGCTTTTGGGTGATATTCATGTTCATGGTTGCTAGCAAGTTTATTACATTGACTTTTAAAGACCCAGATGGTAAGTTCGACTTTAACGTTTGATGTGAAACAGAAAATTGAATAGTGCTTCACACAAATACTGTGCACAACTTCTGTATAAAGTAGCTCTTTGCGTGTTACCACTTATTCAGTAAGATTGAGAACAAACCAACTAAATTTCTAGAAGTGACAGTGCCAATATTCAGTTTCTGCTTTTCTTGGTAGAAGTCTGCAAAACTAATGTGAATGTCTTTTTTTTCTTTTTTTTTTTTTTTTTTTTTTTGGTGGTGGTTAAGAACAGAGGGGATCATGTTTGGCAGTACTGTCTTGTGAGGCCTGCTTTTTCAAATACATTCAGCTTCAGTATCTTGATCTACTAGGAGCAGAAGTCACATGCAAAACAACGGAGCACAACTACCTGTTTAAAGAGCAAGGAGAGTCACAAGGAATTAAAGAGTTCATTTCACATGATACTAGTTTCTCTTTCCTTGTGACCGCTTGTCCTGCGGCTGCAGTATTATGTAAAACTTGTGGAAAGTTTTATTTCGTTTTCAATGCACTTAGCCTAGCCACCTCTGCCCTGCTTCTTGCATTCAGTTTTATCCTCTGCTGTTTGACTGACAAACAGCTTATAGGCTTTTGCTTACCTTAAGTAGCCCAGATGGTAGTAAGCTGATGAGGAATTTAAGCCGTTTGATGACACCACACAGCATGTTACAGTTTTGTGTCCACTGAGGAGCTACTGTTACAAAGCCGTCCTACAGAGAGTTTAGGTTGAAGGCGATGACATGACTTACAGTCCTAAGAGATCTGTACTTCTGCATCTTCCTAAGATATGCAAAAAGAGAGAAACTTAAGCACTGACATCACTAGTGCCATTTGTTTCAACAACTTGATAGTGGATAAATATATTTGGTGTACCTTTTTAAATAGCATACCTCTATGTGAGGTTTATTCAGCAAGTCTTACAGATGAGAACTGTAGGCTAACTTAGTTTTCCTTGGTCCCAGCTGTTTTTGAGCCCTAGTACATCTGCAAATAAGCTGATCTTTTGTTAGGTAGTTAAATCCAGTATTTCATTCTATGCCAACTCATGTTTCCCAGCTCAGGTATTCTTTGAGTGGTTCTTTCCACCAACATTTATTATGAGGATTAAAATGTAGTTTTTAAAAAAATTACTACCTTTGCATTTACTTGCTATTGTCTTGGCTTTCCAATTTTTCTCTCTTGTTTCCCCCCCCCCCCCATACTGAATCTTCCTTCCCCTTTGAATAGTTCTCTGAGCAGAAGATTGTATAATTTCTTAAGCTCCAGTCCTGCAAAGGCATGGCTGTGGTTAAGTGTATGTAGGTGTTGGAGATACCAGTGTTTGTACTGGGACTAATGAAGGGAAGTAATGTGAATATAGCAACAGAATTTTGGAGGAAGTCCCAACAGGATGGCCAGTCCTGGAGGAACTCTTCTAGACTTAATAAAACATGGCTTGTGAGAATTTTTTTGTTTTGTTTTGTTTTGATGTGTCTGCTTAGCAGCTAGAACTAAACCAGCAGATGCTCAGTGAAACAGTGTTCTTTTGTTTAAGCCTTTTACTGATGTCTTGGGTGCATAAGCAATAGGAGCTTCTTAATGAGATAGGTCAAGTTTCTGTCCATCATCTCTAGTAGCATCTTCAAGCATGCTTTTACCCAGTGGTAATGAAAGATAGTTTAACTGCCCTTGCACTGGGTCAGATTACTTTGATTTTACAGAAGGATACTGTGAAGTAAGTCTGTGCACAGCAATATTTACTGTAGCTGATTGCTTGGATGCTTACATTGTTTTCAGTTTTACCTTGCTTTTCCATGCTTGCCCTTTGTTAAAATCCAGTGTAGGCAGAGTAGAGTACTCCCCTAAGAAAAAGATATGGCAGTAGACGCATTTTCTCACCCATAAAACAGTAAGCACTGTGGATGCAGGTGGAGAAAGATTATTCGAAGAAGAAACTATATGAAAGGAAAAGTGGTCCATTGTGGATGGAAATAAATTTTTGGGGAGAAATCATGTTCTTTTGCTTTGTGGTTAGGGAAAGCAGCTTCAAATTATTTTTGATCTTTCTGCACCATGAAAAGTAAAGCCTTGTGTTTTCCTGTAGCATACCAATTGCAAAAGATGCAAAGGGTTTTTCTCTTACATATTTTAATTTGGTGTTAAACTATTATCTGCTCTGAAATCATTAAAAACGAACAGGAGTATCAGCTGAATTTGTTCTTCTGTCGTGGGAGTCTCTAAGGAAGACCATCAGTCCAGTAATAAAGGAAGAGGGGATCTTGTATTTATTGGTGGTCAGATGTATTTACTTAGAGCACCAAAGAAATAAAAGGTGGTCCTTAATGACACTTTTCTTCTGATAATGTCTGAGAGTTTACAACAGAAAAAGCCTACTTACTAATATGAGGGCAGGGAGAAACCTGATAGATTAATTTTTTTATTTGGACATGCTTTGGGAAGTTTGTGGAAAAATAAAAATCTCCTATTGTCCATATACTTATACTCAGTAAGTCTACCAATTGTGATATTTGGATTTATGATTTCTATGTCTCTTTGCATAGTTTATTTTAAAAAGACCAAAATAAAAGATAATGGATATGTTTCTTTGATAAAACTCAGCTGAAATTGCATCCAAAATTCCCACAGACTACATCCTTTAAAATATTCATAGTTTGTCTCATGTCTTGTCTAGTACCTTCCCATTTGGAAACAAATCCTAGTGTTTTGTAAGCTTAATACAGAAAGTGACATTCAGCTGTGTAGTCCTAAAGCAGAAATAATTGCCTTCCCCCTACCTTCTGTAATGCTCTTACCTTTCTTCCTTCTTTAGGCTACGGTGCCAAGCAAGAGCCATTGATACTGACAGCTGTGACAAAAGTGGAGGAGGTACATGTGCCAGAGGAAAAACATTGGCCTAAAGAATTCGAGGTGCATACTGTTGAGATAAGGGTTACATGTATTAAAGAGTGGGAGAAAATAAGAGATCAAGTAAGGGCTTCCTGTTGTTAAGAGGAATTGCTGGACAGGAATTATTTCTTCAGGCTGTTCTATTTAGATAGATCCAACAGAATTCCATTTTAGCTTCACAAAGCTAGTTTATTATGGTAACCTGCTGTCTTGTTTCATCTGAATGATGGAACTTAATGTATTTCCATTTCTAGGAGAAAATTGTTACAGTACTCCTTTATCAAGTCAGGACAGTCATTTTTCCTAGCCTTTTTAATATAATAGCTCAATTTTGGATTATTTATATTCTGCCTTGCCATAGCCATTAGGTTCATGGTTCTCTAGGGCAAACCTGTGTCTTGTCTAGTCTCTTAGTTCTCTGCCCAATCTCTCTGATTTTTTTTCATCAGTCCCCATTTCTTTTTTTATGTTTTCTGCTTTTTGTGCTTCACATCTCAACATTTTTCCAAAGTAGAACATGAACACAATAGTATTCAATACCAATTGATCCTTTAGATGCATAGTTTTGTGCTTTCTGCAGTAAACCAGAACAAATGTGGTTCTTGATAATTCACAAGGAAACTGAAAATCCTTTATGCAAGTGTCAATTTGAGACTTGTTGCACAGTAGTCTAAGGCAAATTTTTTTCCATCGGTTACATAAGTCATCTATGTTTAAAGTATTTTTGTGATGCAGCATGGAAGGTGGATTTCTGTATAAACATGACACTTACTGGTTTCATATGTAAAAAACTGTAATTTAAGTTATCCTCAAAATACTTGCGAGAAACACTTTGTTCAGTGGAAGGCTGGCAGATCTGTGTAGTGAGTTTTATACCTTCCTTTACTTGTATAGAAGAGGCTAGTATGGTTTCTGGATCTAAAACTGTTCCCTCTCGACTTCCCGTCAGCATGAAATGCAGAACAATAATATTAATCCTGGTTGCATGCAAAAGAAATAGTTTTGACAGATAAACAATCTGTCAGGCTATTCAGGTTACATTCTGACCAGAAGCTATTGGAGGAGAGTAATAAACAGAAAAAGCAGAAAGATTTTTTTTTTTTTTTCTTATGGAGGACTGGGACAAAAAGTAAAATCAGCCCTTTTTCATTTGTCACTTGGACACTGTACCTAAAATCATAGAATCACAGAATGGTTTGTGTGGGAAGGGACATTTGAAGATTGCCAACTGTGAAATCAATTAGTAGAAGGGGAAAGATTTGTCAGTAGAAATTTAAAACTTCCCATTGCCTGTTAATGAGACAAGCCCCTTTTTCCTCACTCCCCATTAATCATGAGGCAGAGGTGATCATGGTTATTCTCAGAAAAATGAAACATATCAAACAGTTCACCCATTTTGGGGGAGAGGAATCCTGCCTACTTATCTCATTTACTGCAATAAGCTCTGTTGCTCATTGTCCATTGTGAATTTTTGTCCACTTAGTTTTGTTGCAGCTTGGATAAATGGAAACACTGAATGCCCATAGGTGCTAGAAAACAAAACAGAACTTTTATCCTAATTTTTTTTTCCCAGCCAGATGGGTCAGCATCCCTAAGCCCTATCTTTTCAGAGATTAAAGCTTAATTTCTGTGTAAATTCCTGTCCCAACCCCTCAGAAGCTTTCTTACTTGCTGTTGAAGCTTTGTGGGAGTTTCAGTATTTGGTCAAGGCATGTTGTATCCACACAGATGAGACACCACTGCTCTGCAGTGGACTTAAATTGTTGTATGGAAAAGCTCTTACTACTGTGTGCTATTACATAATGACTTAAGAGTCGAACCAACATGTACAGCAGCAGTGCAGGAAGGAAACTGCGTGCTACTCCTTTAATTAGTACATAGCAATGTTTTAATCGCGAATCTGGGTGTCATGAGGATGCACAGTGTGGGGATTTTTATGCTTTAGAATTTGAACTGAAAACTAAATTCTTGCACTTTTTTTTTTTCTTTCCCCTCTCCATTTCATAAAGCCAACTGGAAAAGCTTTTTCCGGAAATCTGATCCGCCAACCCCTGGTTCATATGGAAAGACTTGAGCTTCTCAGGAATGTCTGCAGAGACACTACATTGAGAAATCTCTCTCACACTGCAGTTTCCAAATTCGTCTTGGACCGAATATTTGTGTGTGACAAGCACAAGATCCTGTTTTGTCAGACGCCAAAAGTGGGCAACACTCAGTGGAAAAAAGTCTTGATCGTTTTAAATGGTATCTACTCTGCTGTGGGTGTGTGGGTTTCTTTGAGGAGGAGGAAAGAACAGAATTGGACCAACTGGGACAACACAAAAATGAATTCTCTCTGCTTTTCTGTACACTGATACTTAATTTCAGTCTCTCATTCTTCACAGTTGCTTCTAGTCCTTTCAAAACATCTCTTTTAAAGAAAATACACCTGTTCTTTTGGTGAAAATAGGTATTGTTATGACTTGGCTCAAAAGTGATTTGAGTCATGAAAGAGTACCCACATGCATGTGGTAGGTAGATTTCTTACCTTTGAAGGGGTGGCACTGGTTTAAGGCATTTGAAACAAGTAAATTACAAGGCATCACAATTTCCTAAAAACAATAATATAAAAATTCTGACTTGGGGCCACTGACTTTTAACTAGGGGTTTTTAGCCATGAAGAAAGCTAGTTAAAACTTGGCTGCTGCTGTTGATCTGTACTGCTGAAATCTTGTGTTATGTGCTATCAGTGGCCATCATAGGAGCTATGAGGATTCTGAGGTGCTTAAGGCAATAGTTTGGTCAACAGAGGTATGTTATAAGAGGCTGTAAAAGAAGGAGTAAAGGGCCTAGTGTGTTTGAGTAACAGTCTACAAGGTGAACACTGCCTGTCTACATGTAGCCTGCCATCCTCTTCTGGTAGCCTGGTATGCCAGTAAAAATAATTAATTTCCTTGGGGCTTTCTGTTGTACCACTGCCTGCACACATAAGCTTAACTCAATCATATTTAACTTAACACACTGTTGTTTGACATGAGACCCTCTTGCCTTGGCTGTGCACCAGGGCTGTGAATTTGCTACAAATAGTCAGGTTAGCTGAGGTTGTTCTGTGGCTTTGCAGGTGGCATAGCTCACCAGGACGTGGACAAAACCTGAACATTGTAAACCCAGCTTTCTTGTTAGAAGCACCCTGCGAACAGCCAGCTCTGCACTTATGTTTTTATGTTTTCTCTACCTTGTGTGAACTAGTTTGCACACCCAGAAGGAAACAGTCACAAATTGTCAAAGGAACTGTGTCCCTCAGCAAAACTTCTGTAGCAAGGAGTATGTCTTTAAAAACTTTAATATTAATTTCAACTTTGATACATGGATGGGAGCTGAAAATCCAGGAGAGAGATGCCCATACCTATGCGCATGCATATGTCTTAAATACCTATGAAAGCTACACTCCAAGAAAGTACTAAATAGGAAACTCTGTAAGTGCATTAGAAGTACCTGCTCTTAACAGAATTTGACAGAGGTAGCATGCAAAGAATAGCTGAGGACAGACAGGGATGTATTGGCTGTGTCGAGTGGAAGTTAAGTCATGTCTTACCAGCAGAGAACCTTTCACCTTGAGCTTCCTAGTTCTGGTATGTTGGATAATGATAGAAAATTGTTGCAGTATAAACACTGGTCTCTTCTGCCTTGAGCTGCCAGTGTACTAGTATCTACTGATGAAGACTACCACTGCAGTTGACCTAACTTTCTCCTCTTTGGGTAGTTTCAGCAGGCAGGACTGATACTTGAGGGGGAATACTTTACGTCCAAATACTGAAGTGGTGTTTGGAAGCTCAGGATGGAGAATTGCAGCTATGGCAGTGTGTGGGAGCTAAATCTGCTACTGCTTGTACTGAATCTCTGCTCTGTCTGAATGCAAGGTTTCCATTTCTGGGACTGTCTAATCTGACATCTGTTGTCCACATGTAATTCACCCGGAGTACCAAAACATATAATTGGAAAACTTTGATTAATTAAATACAACCACCACCACCCCAAAACAAAAAATTAGAAAACTGAGATGCTGAGTGCTGTGGATTATTCATTGCAGTTCTGGAACAGTGAAGGCAGTAGAGGCTTTCACATAAACAGTGGCACTCTGTTCTTGTTGCAGGTTGGTACTCTGAAATGATGCTTTTGTGTGAAGGCTTACTCCAAAAGTCCAAGGGGCTCACATGAGATACTTCTTCAGGTCATAAAAACTTCCAGGATCAGGATCTTAAAATAAATGTGTCAGAATTTAGTGACATTATTTTTCTTGTCAGCTTACGTGCTTGCAAAAATTAGTATCTGGAGGCTTTCTGTTGTTAATTTTAGTGCTTTTTAATCTGTGTGGTATTGTATGATTGGAATTTTTGTTTCAGCACAGTCAGTCATTAAAAGAACCTCATGGATCCTGACAGGAAAGTGCTTTTGTGTTGAAGCAGTTCCAAAAGCAGCCCACAGCATTTATTTTTTGTTGGTGGTAGAAACTCAGCCAAAAAGCTGGTTTCTTCTTTGGAATTAATCCTCAGTCTTCCTCCATTTGTATGTGTGGGCACATGGAAAGAGAATGGGGACACTGAGGTGGGGAGTTACAGGCTTGGACATAATTGCTGATGAAATTTGTGTAATGTGCTTTTCTGAGCATTTTGAGGCCATTTAGTCTTGGACTTTGATGTCATGTACCCTAAAGAATTTTAACAGTTTTCAGCTTTGCAGTCAGAATCTCTCATCATTTAACAGTTTTAAACATAGTAACCTTAAATGCTAAAAATACAGAAAAGAGAAAGATAAAACAAGAAGCTGTCAGCCAAAGGCACACATGCTTGCTTTTGCTCACTTTTTCCCCCCTTGAAAGATTCACTTGCTCTCTCTTTTTGATTTGTCTAGGAGCATTTTCTTCCATAGAAGAGATCCCAGAAAATATTGTACATGATCATGAGAAAAATGGCCTTCCACGTTTGTCCTCCTTCAGTGACTCTGAAATTAAAAAACGGTAAGAGATGGCTTCCCAGGGGTGTGGGAGGGGTTTGGAGTCAGTGGTGTTATGGACAATCAAGAATACAGTTGAAGTCTATATCGGGAATTGAGGACAACGGGGTTTCTGTTCCAGCACTTGTATCACGGCACTACCCTGCTATCCTCACAGATGTTGCTGTGACTACCTCCCTACTGGCTTTGAATAAGAACAGCAGTGTAATTGGTGCTATAGTTGGGTGAGCCAACCAACTCTCTCTGGATCTAAGGTTTCCGTAGTTCAATGCATACCTGGTTGTTACATAGTTGACCTTCAAAAGGGAAAGTTTAGTTGGAAGGTCCACCCTGATCCCTTGTATAGTAAATCTTAGTGCCTACATGTAAGATTGTCATTGCAGGCAGATTTATTTATTGGGGTTGAACCGGGTAAGTTTAAAACGTTAGTGCTGCTTAGCCTGAGAGTCTTGTCCGTTCAGCTGAACCACTTTATCTTCCTGTTTTTGGTGCTTCTGGTTCTTCTTAGAGCAGAAAAAACATTTCTCTGCAGGAGAGCCTTCTAAATTACTTTGGCTAGATTTTTGACTGTGGCTGCTTTCATCTCTGCTAGAGCTTGTGCCATATATAATCCCTGTAAGGGGTGGCAGCATGACGACAACAGGACATAAGATAACAGCGGACACTTGTAAGCTTATGCTTGCCTGGTTTTTGTGTGTATTAAACCATTCTGAAGAGTCAGCCCCTTATACATGTGGTGTCAGCTATCAGTAGAGCTTAGTCCAAGGTTTGTTGCATTGACTGGTACAAATACATTTATCACAGCTGTGCCTGTCACTTGATTGTGTTGATAGTGTGCAAGAGAAAATACTGTCACCACGTTCTTGAGAACGTGGATCTGTTCTCCCTCACTGTGAACAATCCTACATAGAAAGTAACTGTTCACCTGGAGCATGAGCCTTGGAGGATATTTGAGGTTGAATGCCGTTACGATTTGAGTTGTTGCAGTCAGCCCACCACAGAACTTTTGCTGGAGATGCATAACATGGGTTTGGTTGGGAATTCTGAAATAAATTATCAGAGAGTTTAGGTGTAGAGAGAGGGTTGGTGTAGATCTGTTGATCTAGTTTGCTGACCTCTAGCCGTGCCTGGTTAGGAGAACCTGAAGAGTGATCTGAGTGCCTGTTGAGGCTGGAAAGTCTTATTTCAGTGAGGACTGGGCTCTAAATCTCCTTTCTCAGCTAGTTACTGACATAAACTTTGTTTTCAATTTACTCCTCCTACAGATAATTTCTGACTACAGAATGTTACAGCTCAGTGGTATCGCAACAAAACATGAACTTACATTGAAAACTGTGGTCTCATGAAAGTAATGTTCTCAGCCATTATTCAAAGCATGACAAAACATCAAATAAAATACCAGAAATTTTTTCTACTTAAGCAGTGATTTTTGTAACTACCTGCCAGTGAAAAATGCAGCCCTCTGTATACATTTAGCTGCACTAAGCCACTTTTTCCATGTCTTTGTATATTTTGCTTCTTGAGCTGGATCGCATGGCATTAAAAATATCTTTGATTTGGGGCTTTCAGCATCTTTTCAGCATCTTTCGTCTTCTGTTCATATGGATTTAGATAAACTAAGCTCCTCCAGTTTGAATAAAATGTGAAAACTAGGATGAACTATTTCCACTTTGTACTGTATACAATAACTGTTAGTAAAAAGACAGAAATTGTATTTCTAGTCCTATTGATTATAATATTGATAGACTATGCAAGTGGTGTAAGATCCATATTGCTGTGTCTGTGGTCAGAGTTTACGTACACTTTGTAAGTCTTTGCTAAACACACTTTAAACACTTTGCTAAACACTTCCCTTAATTATTTGATTTCTTATTTTTTTCCTTCCTCTGTTTAGACTGAATTTATACTTCAAGTTTTTTATTGTTAGAGATCCATTTGAAAGACTTATTTCTGCATTTAAAGACAAATTTGTGCACAATCCTCGGTTTGAACCTTGGTACCGGCATGAAATTGCTCCTGGCATCATTCGTAAATATAGAAAGAATCGCACAGAGACCAAAGGGCTGCAGTTTGAGGATTTTGTGCGCTATCTGGGTGACCCTAACCACCGATGGCTGGATGTTCAGTTTGGCGACCACATCATTCATTGGGTAACGTATGTGGAACTTTGCGCCCCCTGTGAAATCACGTATAGCGTGATCGGACACCATGAAACCCTGGAGGACGATGCTCCGTATATCTTGAAAGCAGCCGGCATAGACCATCTGGTATCATATCCCACAATTCCACCAGGCATAACAGTGTACAACAAAACAAAAGTAGAGCGGTATTTTTCGGGAATTAGCAAGAGAGACATAAGACGCCTCTACGCACGGTTTGAAGGCGATTTTAAACTCTTTGGTTATCGGGAGCCAGATTTCTTGCTTAACTGACACCTAGGATAAGCTCTGAAAAAGTGTCTCATGGATTAATCTAAACCTGCGTGAATACCAGCTGCAATACTGACAGAGTTGAGAATGACCATTTGTTTTCTAGCTTTTTGATGTTGCTCCATTTTTGAGTGAAATATTTGTCATATGAACAAGTAGGGGCTTATAGTTGTTGTTTACTGACCATATTTTCAATATATGGCATTGCAAACTGTTAGGAATGAAGTCTCTGTTACCTGAAATACAGAATTCCACTTCTCCCCTCTCCCTCCAGGAAAAAAGAGGGAATCTTCCCCCCCGCTCCCATACAGAATGCCATTTTTAAAATGTTGTGAAGTATTTATAAAGATGGCAATTTTTCTATAGGTTAACTCTGACGTGTGGGTGAACTTGATGATTCATGCTCATGAGAAAGGCATGTAGTCTCCCATGAGCTTTGAAAGTGAGAGGCTAGTACAGGACTAAAAATTGATTAAATGCTTGACAAGTAAAATCATCTAGGTTCTCTCATGTGGCTGCTATAATAACAGCAATGCTGATCTAATTACATTTTTGTTTGTCACAAAATGAACCTAATTAGACAGAACTTTTAAAGGTGTTAAAAAAAGGGACTGGTTCCAGAACCCAATTGTCTTTGTATTTTTGTCAAGTGTTTACTGTGCTTACTGCTGGTCTGTTGAGCCTCATAATTCTACTTTCGATTTTTCAAAATATTATTTAACTCCTGGCTGTGTAAGTTATCTAAGAACACCAGATGCAAATGGAGCATAGAAGAAATATGAAACTGCTAGGGAAAACTTTAAGGAAAATTAATTTAAAATAAAGTATTAATTGTATTTGCGGGAGCATATATAGAAGTCATTAGGTGCTCTCTAAATATCACACAATTTAACTTGCTTTGTCTTTAACAGTTAGGATTTATCAAGAAGCCACAAAAGCGGGATGTCATGTAAAAGAGCTGCTAGAGTTACTTGGATTAATGATCTACCTTTTTCTTCTATCCAGCCTTGCTCAATGTTCAGTACCTCAGAGAACAGAAAATTTACTCCCTTCTGAAAATTCATCTCGCAATTGCTAAAGGAGACAGGATGAATCCCTGATTTTTTTTCAGGGATTCACTGCCATGGTGTCCTGACTCAAAAATGCCTAACGTTTGTGTTGCCAATGGGGTGAGCTGGCAACTTGCCAAGAGTTTGAACGTTACTTAAATTTGTGCACCCACTTTATGCATTAAAAAAAGAAAAACAACTGTATGGATGCAACGATCGTATTTGCCTATGCTTGCATTGTGTCTCATAAAGAGCGGTCTCTTGTTTTGAGTTCACCAGCAATAAAAATCAGTGTGCTGCCACCTCATTGCGCAGGCCATGGGAGAGAGACCATGTATCTGAAATATAGGAATTGCTCTGTCACAGTGAGCATGTGAACTGTATTTTTTAAGTCTTAGTCCTGAAAGGCTAATTTTCAGATCAGCATAATGTTGCTGGCTAGAAATGCTAATGATGGCCAGTGCTATGGAATCTGCTCTTAAATCCAGCCACAGTATGTTTTTGATAGCTTCCTCTATCAACACAAGGAAACATGTTGCACTTGTGAAAAAGGAAAGCTGTGCCAAGCTGACATGTGCTGCTACCCACAAAAAGGAAGCCCTGTTGTAGCTGGAAATGATTTCAGAAAGATCTCAACAGACTAATTGAAATAAGGGAGAATCATTAACTGGGCATTGTTAGCAAGAGAATAGTCTAAGGTGGCAAAGCTGGAAGGTGAGATTTTTTTTCTTTTCTTTTTTTTTTTTTTTTTTTTTAAACAACAATTACAGTGCCCTAACTTGTTAGTTCTTAACCAATGATAAAAAGATGTTAACAGCTCCAGGTTTTTCTGTGGTTTTCTTAATATGGGAACTTAGCGAAATGTAGTGTTAAACACATTTTGGAGCTAATGAGCTGATTGATTACCTCTCTGCTGATTTAAAATGTAACAGTGAATAATGTATAGTGAATTCAGGCCTTAAAGTTTAATTCTAATAAAGATAAAGTAGAATTGTTTTCTTCTGAAAGCATAAGCTACTGATCACACAGAATGCCAATGTATGTTTTTATTTTTCTTGGTAAATTACTTACTGTATTGATCTCTCAATATTTATATAGCACCTTCCACCTGGCAACTTTTAAGTAATAATATTTTTTTCTAATAACTTTCTCTGCGTTGAGTTCTCTCAGGCATCTGACAGAAAATGTGGACAGAGCTATGGGCTGATGTAGGCAGACGTGTGTACTGCTCTCCCAGTTCCATGCTCCCATGCTTTTCGGACTGGGACTGGAACACTCGTTACCATTTCTTCAATTCAAACACAAAGCTTCTCTTTTTCAATGATATTTTGAGCTATATTTTCTTTCTATAAGTGTGGGGTTTTTTCCTCACGTGGCTGAAGTAATAATGGCGCAATTTTGGCATGACTCTTGCAGAAACTTGGATAACATGAAAGCCCCTGGTGAGGTATGATAGGCTTCTCTTTACCTCGGTCCGGTGCAGGTAGGGTGGCCAGAGCATGCTGTGTTGGGGAGGAGGCTCTTGCCCTGTCTAATTATGATGAATTAAATGCTTGTGTTTTGTTTTAGCTTGATTGTACTCTATACAAGGCTTTTACAAATTTAGTCCCAGTGGCATGCGTGAATGTCATTTGGCTGTTAGGATGTCATTTGCATACTGCTTTCAAACTGCAGGTGATATTTGTGTCATGTTTTGGGAACTGCTGATTGTTACTTCTCCTTTCTTATGGTGTTACAGCTTCAGAAAACAGTCACATCCTTACTTTGTGCATATCTGTTTCTTTGTGTTGTCTCTTCTCAGAAGCTTTTGAATCCTTTGGCCCATTTTAACCACATTTTACAGAGGAAAGTTGAGTTTTTAGGGATAGTGAGTTGCAGTAATCTTCCTGAAAATAGGAGAGGAGAGAACCATTCTTTGTATATCAGAGAGTCCATGCTGTATGTTAGCTTTAGGGAAAGTACAGACAGGAAACCAAGCTTTACTGCTTCTGCTCATCGTGGAGCTTCTTGTTTCTTATGGACTCCCTTCCCTAGTGCTCCAAGTCTTCCCTCTGATCTCAGTTAACAAAGATGGGAATCCTGAATTAAAAGGTATTCCATGGATCTGTAATTTTCATGTTCCATATAAAATCAAGGACACTTCAAAGATCATCTGCCTAGGGGTTTTTTGAGGTCTTGAGGGTTTTTTTGGCTTCATTGTGGTGAAAATAAATCCAGAATTTACTTGCTTGTGAACCAACTTTAAGGGCAATGCCTATCTCCTTTTCTTTTAACTTCAGCACACAGTGCCTTATCGCCAGTATGCTTTCTGGTCTTGTGCCGTGAAGATTTTTTCTATAGTTAAAAATATTTATCCAGTTTTTTTATTTCAGGAACTGTTCCTTCAAAGAAGTAGCAATTTAAAAATGTCCTGAAAATACATCTTTTTCACAGATAAGCATGTTGTTTTCCTCTTCGTGCTCAGATGCTGCCCTTATTGTACTGAGGGTAACAGCCCCCTCCTGCTACTGCTCGCCTCTGTCCTCAGATCAAGGAAGCCATAAGACAGCTCTGACTTTTGTGTAACATTACTTTTTCGTTGAGGTGTTAATAACTTTGTTGGCTGGGAAAGCCACCTTTGATCTTCTCTGTGCTACAGAAAGTTTGCTGAGAAAAGAGTGATTACATAGGGATTACTTAAGCTTATTTTCTCAGATGAACAAGGATGTCTTGTCTGTGTATCTGCCTGTATCTGATATCCCTTAATTGACAGAGAGAGGGTGAATGATCTTTCTGCCTAATGGCCTTATCGTGATTTACACCAAGCCCCCATCCCATTATTATGGCCATGTGAAGGGACTTGGAAGGAGGTGTAAATTCAACATGTGCGTATTTTAAATGTGAGGGTGTAAAGGAAACTTGACACAGGAGTTGGGCCCTGAAGATTTATCTTGGCTAATTGCTTGTTACAGGTCATCTGCAGAGGCTGGTGCAGTTTCTTTGTGGCCTGCACTTGAGAAGATTTATGCAAGGTAGAAAGAGGCTTGTGGGTGGTGGAAAATTCCCTTTCAGCCTAACTTAGCTGTGTGTGTTCCTGGGCCACTGCCATGGGGAAGGTTTTAGAAGGAAATGATCCTATTAGCAGCAAAGTCTGCAGTGCTTGGGCAAGCAAAGTGCCTCCCTCCTGGAGGAGGAGTTCGGCTTGCACTGATGTGTGCAGCTGACTTTGGTGCTGCCTTGTATAAATCTCTACTTTTGTGCTTTTAATGCAGTTGTGTGCAGCTGAGCTGTCATCTTGCTTTCCTGCCTGTGGCAGTAGCCTGAGGTGCCTCATCTCATTGCCACCAGAGCAGCTCTGAAAGGCCTGCAGCCTGTTTTGCTGTGCAGTTGGAGATGTTCCCCTTACGAAGTGAGCAGCATTAGGCCTGCAGCCATGCAGCTGGTGGCAACAGGCTGTTGTAAGCATGAAAATGGTGCTCTTCGGGGCTAGCTACTGTAAAATTGTCGTTTTTCCCTTTTAATCCAGGCAGGAGTGAAAGGGAAAAAAGATGTGTGTTTGCTTGGAGTCATAAAAGAACTGTGCTAATAGAAATTCTAGGCTGGCAAACCCAGGTGAGGCAATGTCTGGGAGAGCAACACTGAAAAAAGCCATGGGCAGTTGCTTTAAAGCCCCTGGAGATGCTGGACCCCACGTTGAAGGAAAGTTGCTGAAGCTTTATGGGAGGTGTTAGAGGAGGAAGCATGCTCCCCCTTATGCTGTGTGTGCATGCCAGAGGAGCAGCTGCTGATGGGACTGCATGCACATGGCAGGCTGAAAGCATGAAGCATCTGCTGCAGGTGTCTGCTTGAAGTCACAGGAAAAAAAAAAAAAAATGGAAAGGAAATAATGAAAAAATAATCCTGAAGGTTGCACACCTGGAAATGCACTACCTACCTTAACTGCCAGAAATATGTTGACAGCCCTGGATGTGTACAAGTAGTTTCTAAGCAGTTTGTGGGACAAAAGAAAATCTGCAAATAGGAGGGTAAACATGGACCATAGGGCATCTGTACATGCTCTGGAAAGCTATTTAATAGTGAGAATCTAGCCAAGGCTTCCAATCATGCCTAAGTAAATGGATCTCATCTAGAAAAAATGTATAGCTCTGCTAGAAGCATACAAGGAGAAGAAAAAGCTCTTGTGGAATAACTAGCTCCTTCAACAGCTACGTGTTATGCATCTACTGCAATTTAAGAAGTAGGAACATTTTGTCTTGTAGATCTTTTTTTTTTTTTTTTCTTCCTGTCTACAGCCTTTCTGTTTTATTCCATTTTCTTTCCCATGCCCTGAAAGGTCTTTGGATGATACACCACAGTATGACCTGTCATTCTTCTCTTGTCAGAAGGGCAGAAGAAGCTGCAGGAAATACAAAATGTTCTCCATAATTTTGAGGAACACAAAGAGAAAATTCAGGGAGTTGTTATCAATCACAAATGATTTGTGGTGACTGTGAAACATCAAGATTGCATGAGCTACTTCTTAGATGTTTCATGTGTTGGTCAGGAATTCACTTAGGGGAAAAATTATCTCTGTTCTGTTCTGTCTTTGGCATCTTTGTTCTTATATTCTGAAAAGCTTCCAGGAAGGCTTTACAGCAAGTAAAGCTTGAAATTTGCCATACCGCAAAGCTTCACTTTGGATCCATCTATTTTACTCTCATTCTGCTTTAAGCGTTCTGTGGAGTAAGAGTCAACTCTGCACTTACTGATTCCTCGGTTTCTGACTGTTCTTTGCAATGCTATACTTGTGCAAATGCCATTTGTACTTGTGAAAAGGCAGTGATCAAGAAGACTCAGCAAACTCTCTGGAGAGAACAGGACTCTCAACTGGACCTTTATTTGTATGCCTCTGTCCGCTTCACAAGCTTCTTTCATCTG